TCACAAGCATGCCTGTAAGACAGATCAGCTGGGACACCTAGGAGAATATTTTATTGGTAAGAGCACCAATGCTCTAAGTCGGCATTCTGTTTCTAGGCATGGCTAACTTCTGTTCTCATAACTTCTCTCAGCCTTTGTTTAGCCTAGCAAAAAGGACAAGCTCTTCTGATTTTATCTAAATGAAAGACGTTAAAGGATCCTAACTATTCTGTTTTCTGCATCTGCTTCAGTTGCTGTTGCTGAACACGTATGTGCAGGTTTAGTCATTCAGTATTTCATATGAGATGTTTTGCTTTGTAAAATTCTATTGATACTTCCCTGTTTCTACTAAACAAAGCCTTTTCTGGTGCCGTTTAGAGTTGCGTGAGCTACTTGCACAACTGCATGTAGCTGCTAGTTTTCCTTCTGTTAGCCAGAATAGCCAGGCTTTTCTTTTTCCTTCACCTGTGCTTTATCGCTGTAGATTTTATGATTGATCTCTTGCAACTTTGCATGTTTTTTAGTATGATGGTTTGTTCTTTCTCGACTGGGCACTATCTTCTGACTATGCTATCAGTTCTTCAAATGCTCCTTGTATTTTTACTCTATACATGTGAAATAAAACAGCTTTCTAATAAACACCACTGATGGTTCATCTTTATCCTGATAATTTGTCTTCTAAGATTTTCCTTTATAAACAGCTGTATGGAATGCATTGATTAACCCTTATTCTGTCTGTATGATTGAACTTTCTAAAAGGTATTTACATCTGCTCAGGTCTGCTACCTTATTGCTTTCTAAGAAACCATCTGTTGGCCAAAATGGGACTAGTGTGATGTGAGCTATCTGTAATGTGACTCTGCTGTAATTTTGCTGGGTTTTTTCTGTGCCTTGATGTCCTTAAATAGTTTTTTCAAAATCTCTTCTAAGGTGACATTTACATTAATATCTGTACTTGAGTGAATATACTTCAGTTTTAATATAGATATCTTTTACTTTTTTCTGCCATAGAGTGCCATAACCATTACAAATTTGTAAAAATATTTCATAGCAGATTTAGACTTTTTACAATGTTAGCCCTGCTTTTGAGTGGGAGGTTTAACACCTTGAGGTCTGTTTCAACCTGAATTATTTCATAATTCTGTGAGTTTCTTCCTTCAGTGCTCTAGGGTGAGTAGTACCTGGATTTCTAAGTTTTTTTTAGATATGTTAGACAGCTGATTAGTGTAAGATTTTGTTCAACTGTATGGTAAAGTAGCAGTCTCTTTGTTATGTATTCTGTTAGAGTCCTCATGTATGCTAGCTGCGCTGTCAGAAGTGTCTTGATTCTGCAGAGTTCTGTACTTGGGTCGCAACCACCCCAGGCAGCGTTACAGACGGGGAAGTGTGGCTGGAAAGCTGCCTGATGGTAAAGGCCCTGAGAGTGCTGGTTGAGAGCAGCTGAACATGAGCCAGCAGTGTGCCCAGGTGACCAAGAAGGCCATTGGCATCCTGGCCTGCATCAGCAACTGTATGGCCAGCAGGACTAGGGAAGTGATTCTTCCCCTGTGCTTGGCAGTGGTGAGACCGAACGTCAAATCCTATGTTCAGTTTTGGGCCCCTCACTTCAAGAAGGACATTGAGGTGCTGGAGAGTGTCCAGAGAAGGGCAATGAGGCTGGTGAAGGGTCTGGAGCACAAGTCTTGTGAGGAGTGACTGAGGGAACTTCGGTTGTTTAGCCTGGAGAAAAGGAGTCTCTGGGGAGATCTTATCACGCTCTACAACTACCTGAATGGAAGTTCTAGACAGGTGGGGGTTGGCCTCTTCTCTGAGGCAACAATAACCAGACAAGAGGAAATGACCTCAAGTAGTGCCAAGGGAGATTCAGATCAAACACCAGGAACAATTTCTTTATGGAAAGGGTTGTCAAGCATTGGAAGGGGCTGCCCAGGAAGGTGGTGGATTCACCATGCCTGGACAGTGACATGACAAGGAATGACTTGTATGTCAAAGGACATAGCACTTAGTGCTATGGTTTAATTGGCATGGTGCTGTCTGGTCAAAGGTTGGACTCAATGATCTTGGAGGTCTTTTCCAACCTTTATGATTTTATGATACATCTAGCACTTTTAATACCAGTTTACTTCTCATTTTTCTCTCTGTCTTAAGGAATTTTTTTTTGCTTTTTTTCTTCAACTTGTCAATTTATATTTCAGGAGTTATTGAAAAAAACATGCAGTAACATTTTTCTTCCCCAGCTGTAAATGGTTCTGGGCATGCACTGTCTCTTATATTCAAGCAGTGCCTGATCCATGGCATCCTAGCTCCTACTCTGTGATATTAATAAATTTACTTTCTTGTTGATCTCATTGCAGAAAGGTAGAGTCACAAAGAGAGATGTACTGACTGAGAATTGAGTTGAAAATTGTGTTACTGGTAGAAATAATATTTATTTATTTATGTATATTTATTTATTTAATTATTTTTTTTTCCTGGCTGTAGTAAATGCAATGTTTGGGTCCAAGGTGAAGTTTCATATTAGTTTGATGCATAGTTTTCTCGCATCAAACATAGTCTCCTTCTCTTAGATTTTGAATAATTCAGAAACATATATCTCATTTTGCTTATGTAGAAATAAATAAGGTTATATAAATATCCTTATCCTATGTCCTTACTTATATGTAAATAAACAAGGACATAGGATTTCCCTGCGTTTCTGCATTCCTAATCTAATCCAGGATTTTGATGGGTAATTTTTCAAATAGTCTTTGTACTTCTGAGTATTTAGGGCTGGTTTGCCAGGAGTAAAGCACTGATGTAAGGAGAAACTTTATTCTTTGTCGAAAATAAAAAGCCTGAAAAACGTTGAAGTAAACCCAAAAGTGCTAAACTGGCTCTTGCCCAGCTTAACATTGCATGTATATTGGAGCCAGAAAAGACTATTTAAAGCATTTGAAAAAGAAACAAGGGGGGGCTGAGTAAACGGGGTAAACTGGAGACTGTAAAATAACTTCTCACAGGTTAGCATCCAGCAAGGGCTATGGAAGTGGCATAAAGATGCTATGCTAAAGGTTGCTAGGCTACTGCAAGGTAAGCTCTTATGCAGTGCTACTCAGCTATGCTGATCATTTTTACTACCCAGCTGCTAAGTAATGTGTATATAGTATTGTTTGCCTGGCTACCGGCCGGAAAGGGAAGTTTGAACTGCTAAGAAACGTTGTCCTGTTGTAGGATGAAACTTGGTCACATGCCAGTTATTACCTTTTGCAAGACTGACTGTTTTTGGTTTCGGTCACATTGACTGACAAGGAATGTCAGGAATTCTGCTGAACATGTTTGAAATAGAATAGCAAACAATAGGTCTTTGATTCAAGTATAAAAGTATAAAAACTATTGCATGAATTTAACTTGTTCTGGTGGTTTTCATTGGTGAGCTCTTGGTTTGTCTGTACCATTTTCGCCTTCGTTTCTTCTACTCAGTGTTGAGAAGGTTATTGAAAAGGGAATGTGGGTTCTTTGTCTTTTATCTGGATTTGATGTATTTTTTTAAATACTTGTAAGACTGTGATTAATCTCTACCAGTAAAAATTATTTCAATTGCAAGTGCAAGGTCATCAGTTTTTCCTCTGTAAGGGAGGGTAATTCTTCATCTGCTCTTTTGTTAATGGGTTCCCTGTATTGTGTTTTGCCATACATATAGGTAGAAAACACATATGTTTATGATTCCTCTTAGTTGTAATTTAATCTTTGGCCTTTATGCCAGAAAGTCAAAATTAACAGTTGCTACCACAAGCAGTGACAGGACCTGAATATAGAGTTAAAATTATGGTGTATTAAAGTGATTCATTTCCATCTGTTGTCTCCCTGCTTGTGAGCTCTAACACAGTAACCTAGTTCTCTTCTTTAAACACTGTTTAGTGAAGAGGTACTACAGCTCTGCCAATTCTGTTGTGTTCCAGACAAGTCCAACACGGCATATACACTGTGGGATGCAACAGCAAAAAAGGATAATTTACTCTCTAACATTTGTGAAAGTGCAGTGTATATAACATAACATAACATCCAAGTCTAGTGTCCTGTTGTCAGTTGGGGACTCCCAAGGCAAACTGACTCTCCCAACTTGTTCTGATTTGTGGCCCAGCGATTTCTTGAACATAAACTAACTTTCTTGATATAAATTTCCTGTATCAAGTTGACTTCTGTGAATTTGTGTAGATGCTTTGTAAAATAATAATATTCACATACTGTGCCAAGAATTCCAAAGTTCACCTACCTGTATGTTGTATGAATGACTGCCATGTGTTTGATTCTTATCCGCTAATTTTAACCAATGAGCATCCATTTCTTCTATTGAGAAACTGTGAACAATTATTACCTATAATTTTCTTCATGACATAGGTGTTGTATAGATTTTGTTCACAAATGTTTCTTTTCCTGGGGGAAGGCTTGTAGCCGTGGATATTGTTTTGAACACCCTGATTGTGTCCTTTTCCATGCCACTTTCAGTTCTGTTGTATACTTTCTGAGATGAGTGGGAGCCAGGATTGGGTGCAGCATTAAGGATGGATTTTATACAGTGACCTAATGTATCCTGATTTTTTTTTTCTATGTCTTTTATAAGAATTCTTTACATTTGTTTTTTGTTTACTAGTGCTAGTATTTTTTATTATTTCAGAATCTTGTTGCAAAGTGAATACTTTTCTCACAGCCTGTCATCATTTGGGATATTAAGATTCTGGGCTTTCTTATAGTTATGTGATTTACTTTACACGTCCCATGGATTTTTTTTATGCTAGTTTAATATATGTTCACACAGTTGCATAAAGAACTCACGACACTGTAGGTATTCTAAGCTATGAAAGCAAGAAATAGCTTAGAATTACCAAAAAAAATTTTCATGCTTATAAAAATTGCAATAATATTTTCACAACATTTAAAGTATACAATTATCTGTGCTGTACAAATTGTATGTGAAATTAATAACAGGAATGGATATTTTTTTATTTGCCATTGCATTAATTTACAAACTCAATCTTTTGCAGTTTTGTTGCTAGAGAAGATGGAACATGATGACATTTGTAATAAAACTCTGAAGATTACAGACTTCGGTCTGGCTAGAGAGTGGCACAGAACAACCAAAATGAGTGCAGCGGGGACTTATGCCTGGATGGCTCCAGAAGTTATCAAGTCCTCCATGTTTTCTAAAGGAAGTGATATTTGGAGGTAAGAAGTCTGTCTGCTGAAGACCCTGTTTGCTGGAACTATGTTGAGGTTTTTGAGAGAATTTTGATTTGTGGTTTCTTTTATTTTTTTTTTTTGTGGTTTGCTAGGTTATTGTCTCAACATATGGCAAGTTTAGCTCTTCTAAGAAGCAAATGCATTTCTCAGTATCTGCTTCATTTTTTCTATCTTTTATTATCCATTATTTACATGTTGGAGGAGGGAAAGGGAAAGTAACAGAAGTTTTTTTTCCTTTTTTTAAAGCAAGGTCTCATTAAGAGAAGCCTTTAAAGTACCTGTTGATTAAGATACCCAAGTATTTATCTGGACTCTTAATATAAACAACTGTATGCTTTTGCCATATTAATGTGTGATTGTTCTCATATTGGTAGGTTTACCTTGTATCAGATGTCTGAAAATTCTGAAACTGCTTGAAGAATGGGACCAACCTATTATTACCTTATTTGTCTGATAAATAAAAATAAGCTGCAAACCAGAATTTTGCCAGATGTTAACTTGAATTAGTGCTGTTTTTAGGACTCCAGAATGTGATTGTGTGTGAAAGTTTAAGGTTCTACATTTATAGAGATTTTGCTTCCACTAGCTGGAGTGAGGAGAGTGTATTCAGCACAAATTGTTTTAACTTGCTCTCTAATTTTAAAGATGGGAAACGCCCTACGTTAAATTTGTGAATTTCTCGTTAAAGACGTTATTGTGGATAATATAAATAATATGGCTCTCACTAATGATGCTGGTTTTGAGTGATGTAGTGTGGGATACATGTACTGTAGAAGGGTAATTTAAACTTTAATTTAGTTGTGTTTTGTGAGTACAGAAAAGCAGTGATTGCACAGTAGGCTCTACAAGCTGCTATGCCTCACCCTGAAAAGTCTGTATTTCCTTTCTTTTTGATATGTTTTCTCTGAAGGATCCAAGGCAGCTATTTGGGGAAGGAGAGAAGGAATTCAATCTGTTTTCTCATGCCGCCTTATACATGTTCTGTGTTGTATTATTCAAAAATAGGGTCCTGTTTTGCTTAGATGCATGATATTCTGCAGCATGAAGTAATACTTCTGGTATTCTCAGGATGATTCTGTATCTGCACTGCTGTTTTGTGACACTCATTTGTCTGGAACCAATTTTTTTTGCATCAGTCTGAGTTGATGCCCAGTTGGGCAACATCTTTTGCTTCATTCTTTTTTTTTTTTTTTTTCCATTCTTACTTTTTTCTTTAATTTTTTTTTTCTTTTGCGGGGTGGAGGTTGCGTGTAGGCGTTTCCCTAATCAGCTGTATTCCATGCTTAATTACAGGTCCTGTCCAGTCTTGTTGCTGTGATTTTAGGTATCTGAGGGGGTATGCTTTGGTGCAATTATTTTATATTCTGCTGCAACATTAGTTTACATTTTTGGAACCTACAGTATTTCTCTTCTTCGCCTTCTCTTCTGCACGCCTCTCTTGTAAAAATGTAAGTATTTAGTTCAATGATGGAAGTCTAACAGGAGAGGTTTTTAAGTAGAAAGGCTGCGTTTTACAGTATAGTTTATACTTTCTTAGCTTCTAAAGATTTTCTGCTTACTGCACCTTTATCTATTCTTTTGCTTATCTTTACTCTTTCTTTAAAAGAAAAGCAAATAAAGAATACCCTGATTACAAGAGTGGTTTTTGCTTTAAAAAGTATTCAGGTTACCAACTTTCAAGAGAAATCTAAACTTCAGTTACACATACCGAATTCTGAGACTCCAAATGGTATCTGCAGACCTCTTATTAGAAAAAAAAGAGCAATTGAGGCTACTCACACTTGTAACTAGTCTTCCAGAATTTGCCAGTGCTTGGAAATGTTGTGGGAGTATTTTCATGCAGAGCCTTCCAGGCTGCATGTTCTCAGGTGTCATCCTAGATAGCAGAATTAGTGCTTTCCAGGCCCTGCACATGTATCCTTTTGCTTTCCAAGCCAGAGTTTTAACTACTGGATTTATTATTCTTTGACATATACTCCCAAATTCCCAAACAAGAATTCTACTTTTTTAGCCCTACCTTTCCATCAATCATCATGCACTTCTAAGTGGTACATTGGTCTTAGTTTTGTGTATGGAGCCTGAAAGTGCAGATATGCCCACAGATTTCCAAGTGCTGATGGTGTGCTTCAGCAGTGGTCTTTACAGTAACATGTGTCTTGGTTGTACAAGCCCTGGGCAAAGCTGGGAAGCATTTACTATACAGCAGAATTTGTAGCTGCTTTTGCCTAGCACATTTGTATAAATTAAAAGTGATTGATATAGCAGTGCTTACTGCTCTAGAAGATGGATTGTAGAGTAAAATAAACTTTGAGAACTTTACCTTCAGATTTTCTTCTTTTGAAATATGTAAAACCAGCAAGTGTTCATTGGCATGAGATATAGTAAGACTTAAATCACATTTGACTGCAGGAAAATAATTTTAATAGTGAAAATATTTACCATATTTTTGAAAGTGCATTAGTTTTCGTGGTTTAAAAATGTGTATTTCAAGCCTGTGTTTTTGGCCTTTTGCTGAAATTGGAAAGGGACATGGCTTTTGTTCCTTAAAAAAAAGCTGTTTCTTAGAAGCTCTGACTGTATACACAGGACAATTGTGTGTGAAATTTAATACACAAAGTAGCTACTTCTGTAATTGAGAGTTAATAAGTAGTTGTTGTTCTAGATAAAGAACACTCCAGCATGGGAAGACTATAATGTGTTGAGGCTTCCTCCTCACAGCTTTTCCCCCATAATGCTGGCCTTTGGTACTTGATATTAAGACTGCTTTCATTAAAAGGCTGTTACTGTATTGGTCTGTTTGAAACTTTACAATCACCTTATTTGCACTGTTGAGAACTATTAAAGATTAAAGGCTTGAATTCTAAATACAACTAAAGCTAATAGTATGACACAACTTTTTATAAAGGTGACTTCTTTTTAGTTAAATTTAATGTTCTGCTTACCTTCAGAATTCATGATAAAATACGTATAGAATAGTCTGAACAAGGAAATTCCTTGAATTTAGAATAGTCTGTGCTTGCTGAGAGATTTTTTACTCTTTCTCTAAGCACAAAAATGAACTCTAGTTCAGTATTCCTCCATCAGGCATAAAATACGTGTGTACTGCAGGAAACACTGTATTCATTTTTGTCAGAATACCACTAATTTAAAACAAATTGGAATTTATTATTTTATTTTATCCTTCTTCAAGTATACAAGCAAATGCAGAGATTAGACCAGAAAAATCAGGAGGAAATTATTAACCATAAGACTTTTTTATTCCTTTGTCTTTTATAGACAGGTACGGACTATTTTCCTCCGCTTTTGAATAAGTATTGGAACTGTAAATTCATTAGTTTTATAAGATTTTGTGAGACACAAAAATTCCTAGACAAACAGACCACAGATAATAAAGCACTGCTGATATTTGTGCTGATACTGTGTAGTTTGCTGTTTTATTGTTTACTAAAGTGATGTTGGAAGGTCTTGTATAATGCTGACTGACTTTCCTCATTAGGCAGAGAGTGATAGAAAAACTTAACAAGCGTGCGTTCTCCTCCCTGTCACATCTGCTCTACTTGTACTGCTCTAAATCGAGTACTGAGGGGTACATAGCCCTTATTTCCTCAGTGCAGTATACATTTTTCCTCATGTTGGAGAGTTCAGTCTGGTCTTGCATGTGGTTTCTTTGCACATCTGGAGAGAAGGGGCAAGAGCAATAGTTTGTATTCTGTTTTTTTCCCTTTGCCTGCTCACATAACTATTCAAAAGCAGCAATAGGTTGTCCTTTGTATCGTTATTCTACTCTTAGTGGTTCCCTGGCCACAAGAGAGGAGGGGAAGTGAGGTGGAGGGGGCGTACAAAAAACAAAACCCAGTCATTAAGTCCACTTTAGGCTTAGATTCTGAAAGGAGTAGTTCCTGCTTCCACAAAAATGACTGTGAAAGATATCCATTTAAGTGGTGGTGGAATAGGAGCTGTAGAGCCACGGCAGCAAGCATGCTGTCCCAGCCCTTTGCAGGGGCTTGGATCATTTGAATAAGCCAAGAGTTTGGCATACAAACCCAAAGAAGGTAAAAGCAACACTCAGCTCTTCTTTTAAAGTGAAGAGCGTAGCAGAAATTCTTATGGTTATTGTTGCTGCATTAGGAGTTCCTGTAATTCTTGATTTCTGTACCTGACACTGAGAAAAGATTTCTTCATTCCACCAGCTTTCACTGGAAACAATGTTGTTCTATTTGGTTTTTTGAGGTTTTTTTTCTCTAGTATGGAGAAATTAGTTGTGTGTGAAATAATTTCTCAATCTCGTTGCATCTTCAGTGGGAAATGACAAGTTAGCTGGCCTTTATATACACACAGGGGAATCAGAAATGCAGACTTCCAGATAAAACTGGGGGTTTTCTGTAGTTTTTATTACTATTATTTAAAAAAAAAAACCAAACAAACGTACATCTAGGTAAATTGTTGTGAAATGTTTGGAAAGGACTGAATGCTCTGCTGAGGATTTGTTTTTATTGTTTGTTTTGGTTGGTTGGTTGCTTGGTTGTTTTTTGGAGGGGAGAAGGTTGCTTGTTTTCCTGTCATTCGAATTTCTGATTGTTAGACAGATTTTTGTGATACAAGCATTTCTATAGATTTGGCTTCAGGCTTACACTTTGAATGGGAGCACGGCCAGTCCTGAAGTCATATCAAGTTTGGTTAATCGCTATTAGTGGAAAGGTGTAAGATGACAAAAGTAGAGATGACTCTTAAAGGCATTCGCCTTTGACTCGGAAATCCTCATGAATTTCAGTACATGATTGGACAGCTATTTGTTTGTTCTTGAGTAAACAATGTGTCAATATTCAGAAAATAACTTTAAAAAAAAATTACCTTTTGTAGTTACGGAGTGTTGCTGTGGGAACTGCTTACAGGAGAAGTTCCTTACCGTGGCATCGATGGCCTCGCTGTGGCTTATGGAGTTGCTGTCAATAAACTTACTCTGCCCATTCCATCCACGTGCCCTGAACCATTTGCAAAACTAATGAAAGGTATCTATGTTGTTTCTTCCTATGTATGTAAATATTTACATTTTGGGGGTATGTATCCTTGCTTGTAATAGTCATGGAGTTGCAAAATAAATACCTCATTTGATAACGTGCTGTGTACCAATTATTTTGGTGGTTTTTTTACACAGCAGTCTGGTGTTACAGACAGTTGGGTGTGTTTCTGAGGAAGTCGTACAGTTATTACTGTGTTGCATATAAGGTCTTCAGTACTGATAGAGTACAGTTTTTGCTCTGATTTTTACAGGTTTCCTTTTACACTGAAATTGCATTAATTTTCACAAATTACAGAACAGACTACAGAGTAATACCAGATCAACATTAAAATCCCAAGAGGAAGAATTGCAAATGCCATTTTTCCTCATTGTTTCTTCTTGAGTGTCAAAAATGTTTTGGAAATCTTTTAGAGAGAAATAAACATTGCTTGCTAATGGCTATTTCCATGTGTTTAATGAATTTCTTTACCTTTTATATGTAACACTTCTGAGCAATACTGCTAGATTTGCTGTTTCAGATGCTAAAGATAGAGATGAAAAAAAAGTTTACACTTTATACAAAAGCAGTCCTCTGAGTACGAGTAGTAGATGTCACCTCTGTAAATTGAAAAGAAACTAGGGAAACCTTGCAGGTAAAGGGAACATAGTAGAAACTGAAATGCAGTAGTAACTTGAAATTCATGTAGTTCTTCAAAAAGTTCTCTGTACTATTAAAAACTGACAGGATTTTGATAAATTCTAGAATGCTGGGAGCAGGACCCTCATATCCGACCATCGTTTGCCTTAATTCTTGAACAGCTTACTGCCATCGAAGGGGCAGTTATGACTGAAATGCCTCAAGAGTCTTTCCATTCCATGCAAGATGACTGGAAATTGGAAATTCAGCAGATATTTAATGAATTGAGGACCAAGGAAAAAGTAAGTTGATTTTTCCAATTGCATGGCAATGAAGGAAGGGTATGTGTGTGTGTTTACGTGATAACAGCCATTTTGAACTTTTGAATTGTGGCTTACCAATGTACTCATGCAAGTATACAGGCAGTTGAAAAAGAATCATATCCACACCTGTCTCCCCAAAGAAAACAGGTTGTAGATCTGTAAATGGGGCATTCTAGGCTCTTTTTTAAAATGTGTTTGAATGTATCACTTCAGTTGCATTTATCACTTGGCTAATCTTTATAACCACTGCAGATTTTCGGCTGCTGTCGAACATTCTCCTCAGCTGTGGGAACAAAAAGCCTTTCATCCTCTTATATGACTGTATCCTGTGGCTTCTTTTCCAAAAACGGGATAGTGCTTTTATCTCTCTTCTTCCTGAACAGAGTGGTAATATGGATGTCTTTCAGTGTTGCAGTTTGGGACACATTCTTGCCAGATATTAATAAGGTCAAACTCATATTCGTGAATCAGCAAATCCAGTTTCTATTGTTTATCGTTCAGATTTCTGTCACTGATGTTCTTTCCATACTCTCATATCATGATATCTTTGTGCTAAATGAGTACTCACTGTCAATTTTCCTTGCCCTCTCTTTTACGTACTTTAACTTGGTTTTAATTACCCTAAGTTTTATATTTTCCTTTAGACCACTTGATAAAGATAACAGTTGGAAAAGGCCAGGTGTCCTCTCAAGTCCCTCTTAAAAATGCTTCTAGAATCTGTAGAAACAGATTCCTTCTTTGCAGTATACTTATTGCCCAGTATATATTTACTATTATTTTTCATGAAGTGGTAATAGATAAGGAAGACAATAATTGAGATGCAGTGACTTGTGAAGAAATCTTCATTAAAGATGTAGCTGCTTAACTTTGACAAAACCAAGAACTAAACTCTCATCTTGTGAGTCATTCTTTGTACCCTTTGTCCTTCACTCGTAAGTGTCACAAGTGGCTGTTTGAGGACTGTTGGCTAGTGATGGGCCTGACGTTACTTATCTACTGTAATATCAGCATATGTGGTGTTAGAATTTATTGATTACCCTTAAGATTGCAGTATTGTCAATAATAATTGTGCACACTTCCTATCTACTGTTTCTTCCACCCTCTGCATTTCCCTCTTCCATTCCAGTTCACAGAACTGGGTAAGTGTTGTCTCTGTAGTCTCTGTCCTGCCTGCACTGGGCATACAGTGTGCTAGAGCTGGGCTGTGTGCCTCAGTAGCTGTCAGATCTCTTCCTTTGCAGATGAGTTATAGTCCCTCTACAGAGAGTAGAGGCTTCCTTTTTTACTTGCCGTGGGGTCACTGTGTTCACTTGCCACAGCCTGCCACAGAGCATACTCTCTTTTCTGCCCCTCCAGCTACAGCTCAGTCAACCATTTTCCTCTTTTTACTCTGGGAGCAATTGTAACAGGCATTCTCATTCAGGTTTTTTATTTGTTTTTTTATTTTTCTGGAGGCATTAGTCCAGTATGAGATTGCCTATCAAAGGAAAATGTGACTAAATCAAGTTTAGGGTTAAATAAGCCAGTGAAAAGATTTGGGAGGAGAGTCATATTTTTGTGTAGAAGTGAGTTAAGCTTAATTAGGGAGGGGAAAAGATAAAATGAAATTTACTTCTTATATGCCAAAGTAAGTGCATCTCCAGAGGCATCTACCCTAATTAGGTAAACTTGTTTAAGAATGAAAGCACGTAACTTTGGCTTACACAAGGTTTTCATGCGTGCGGGCTTATTTAATTTGGCACAGTATCAATTTTGCTGTCAGCTACTAGGGGAAAAGTAATGTCTATCAAATATTTATATAATAATAATAAAACAAACAAAAAACCTCTGCATGGAGTCTCATTCCTCCTGTAAAAGAGGAACTTCTGTAGCTGGAGGAATTTCCTCAAGGGCTTGCTGCAAATGGGTGATGGTAACTCCCACTCCAAGAGATCACAATCTTCTTCTGACAAATGTTCTTGAGCAACTTAAATATAGAATTCTTTTCTAGCTTCCTTACAATGGGTGTTTTAATTGTAGAGCGGTGTGGAAACATTGCATAACTAATTGCAGTAAGTGTGTTTTTAATTAGTTTATTTTGAAAAGAGTAAATACTTAATCTCTCAGTGAGGAAACACTTTTTCTATACTGTCTACTGTTCCAGTTCAGACTCTCAATTTTTGCCTAGTTACTGAGTTTTATGGCACCTGGATTTGAGGACAGTGAAAGATGGAAAATCAACAGTGTCTCCTAATGCACTTTTATTACTGTACTGATAAAGTAATAAAAATCTTCTCTATTTCAAGTCTAAAGTACATTTATTCTAACTTTGAATTCATTTAGCTTCTGCTTTCAATGCTTGTTTTAGGTTGTCCTATTTTGACTGTACAGGAGGAGGAGGAAAGTGAGGATTTGCAGCAGTCTCTAAATTAAGTTTTTAAATATCTTTAGAAAAAAGAAACCAAACAGAGGAACACAACTCAAAGCCTTACTTGCTGGCATGAAGACAGATTCCCTTGAATTTCAAAGAGACAGAATTGCCTGTAGCAAAACAGTCTATGTTAAGTGGGTCAGTTAAATTTTTTTTCCCAAATATTGTGTTGAAACGAGCTCACTCAAAATTAGTAAACCATGTGAAATTTGTCACTCATGTCAATTAAATTTTAAACCCCTCATAAGCAGTGTATGTATGCTATATTTGTAAGTAAAAAAAAACACCCTTCTCACTGAACCAGTTTGCTTCAGTGCCAACCTGTCTTTTGACATCGATAGTCTTTTTGGCAAGAACATTTGAACATCCCCTTATTTGAAAACACTGAAGTAGTGTAGTTAGTTCAGGAATTAATTTATTCAAGGCAAAGTAGGAGTTAAAAAGGGAAAATAGTTTGGGTTTTTGCTTTCACAGTATGCAATAAGGAGTTCTCCTGGCATGCAACATTGCTGGACACTGGGGAGCAGAGGTAGGCGGCCTACTCTGAAATAAAAACAAAACAAAGGCAAACAAACAAAGAACCCCAAGCAACACCACAGTTATAGAATTGTACAGTGACAGCGTTAATTCAATTTAAATAAGATTCTTAGATATCCTGAACTTTTAGCATAGCTTTATTTTAAATGATGGTATTCTATTTTGATTTGAATTTCAGTTTAAATACAGGTAGAATTTACACAAGCATATGGAAAATTTATGTGGTGAGAAACATAGGGTACAAGTCACATTTAGTTCTTCTTTTCCAGTACTTTCACTACAGTATTATTGGCAATACTGAGTACAAGACTTCTGGGTAAGTCTGCTTCCTGCCCTGTACTGTGAAGGAAGGTCTAAAATTAGGAAGATCTTTAATTTCAAATGTATTTTAACAGATTTTGGAAACTGAAGAATAAGATAATTTTACGATGGTAGGTTTACAGCTGTTTGGCTTTGGGTGTTCACTTAACCTGAAAAATTAACTAGCTTCCTTACTAAAGCATTTCTTTTTCAAAAAAAAAAAAAAGAATGAAAAGAGAAGAACAACTATTTTGAGTGTGATGGTTGGGGAGTCTGTGTTGCAATTCAGTGGTTAGTAGCTGTTTGATGTCACAGATACCTGCTGGATTTTAATTAAGAAACAGCTGTCTTCTGTCTTATGACTTAGTTTATCCTATTACACTAATCCTCATTCAGTGTAATACTGATTGCTGTTCTAGATAGAAAAGTGCTACTTAATACATGGCTGAAAAACAGGAAAGGTTAGAGAATTTAAGATAAAGGCAATAATTTGTGTATTTGTCAGGTCATTGGCTTTATGTTAATGCATAGAAGCTATCTAGGAGCAGCCCTCATGCTATGCAATAGTTTCTGATGTGAAATACTTGGAGAAAATTTTCTGCTTGGCTGTAAACTGATAATCTTTGATTGCATGTGCTGTCCACATTGCCACTGCTTATCTGCCTTAAGTAAAGTGACTCAAGTTATAAGGAAATCTGTATAATGCTTGATTCTGAATACAGAATCTTGGCTTATTCAGAATGGAGGACTATCAGAAGGTCGTATGTGCATGTTACATGTGTATAGTGCATCATGAAAATAAAACAGGAAATAAAACCTACTGTGCACTTTATATATCCTTTATTATTCCCTCCATATTATTACTTAGTTTCACTTTGTGGATCTTACCTTCAGGAGCTTCGATCACGAGAAGAGGAGTTGACAAGAGCAGCTCTTCAGCAAAAATCTCAAGAAGAATTATTGAAGCGCCGTGAGCAACAGTTAGCAGAACGTGAGATCGATGTACTGGAGCGTGAGCTGAATATCATGATATTCCAGTTAAATCAAGAGAAGCCAAATGTAAAGAAGAGGAAGGGGAAGTTTAAAAGAAGCCGGTTGAAACTTAAAGATGGACACAGAATTAGTTTGCCTTCAGGTTTGCCATTTTTCTTAGAGTTCGCAATACATGTAACAATTAAATATGTGGGCTTCAGTTCCATGGTTCACGTTTTCAATGCTGGCTACTATTTTAATTTGTTGCCAGGTCCTTCTACCATAAATACATAAAAAGATTTGGTAAGAATTGTATAGCTCCCTCTCCCCAAGGAAACAACTTTCACATATCATATTCTCATGGAGTAGTCCTCATTTTAGCTGGAAGAAGCTTTCACCTGATTCAGCTAATAGTCCAACGTATCTGGAGAGAAAGGTTACTAGCATGGGAGTTACATGATTTAAGACTGTTTCAAAGTTTTGCTTTTCGTTATCATTGTGTCTGTGCAGACAGAAAAGTACCTCTTTAATATGTGCCAGAACTTTCTAACATGATCAAATATTAGTGCTGTTTGCCCTAACTTGGAAATACTGAGCAGAAAAACAGTATTTTGTAAAGGCTGGGGGTACAGGTGCAGTATGTTCAAATTGCATGTTTATTGCAGTCACAAATATGACACACCAGTTACAATCTTCAGTGCCTCATTTCTTGCAAGAAAACACTCTGATAGCAGCAGAAAATTATTTCAGAATACAAATATGGTATAATTTGAATGTTAGAGCATTTTATTCCACCCATGAATGCATTACAATGTCCCTTTTGCAAAGGAGACATGTTTGTAGCAAGTTAGGTCCTTTTAGTTTTGTTCTTTTAGTTCTTTTAGTTTAGTGGTGCTGGTTTAGTGGTGCCATTTTAACATTGCCACAAAATAGCACTATGCAAATTCAAGGTTTCACCAATGATTGGAAAGCCTTCATTAGTGGTACCAGCATCCTGGTGTTGATGGGCTTTCAGTGGCTTCCAGGTCAAGTCTGTCAGTTTATTACAAATGCGGTGAGAACTTCATGCTGTGCTAACACATGTCTGACCAAATCATAGCTGTCTGGTAGGTGGAAAGAGACAAAGAGGGCAGTAAGTACATTTAGAGTACTATTTCAGCACAAGTGAAATAAATTTATTCTTCCTTACTTTAAAAATAAGAGCAAATAAGATAAAAATCACCCTACAGTCTCAGAGACAAACATTAAATAGGTTTGTGCTCGATCACAAGCTTTAACTAAATACTTGGTCCTTTGTTCCCAGTTCTGCTTATATTTAATTTCAAAAAGTGCTAAAATGAACAGTTTCATTCAGAATACCACTTAGCTACTTGTTATCAAGAACATTCAGATGAACTTTTCCTCGAGACAGTTCTATTGTAAGAATAGTGTACACTATAATTGCACTGATGATGGGGATTGGAGAGGGGCATATTGTCAAATTTCATTTCACAAATTTTTTCCTACTCATCAATATTTGTTAGTTGGGTGTTTTTACTACTTTGCTATAAATATCTGTAATTCTGTAGTTTGCTGTCATGTTTTTCTGACAGGTGAATAGATGAGATTTCTTTGTTAAGGCTTTTTTTTATGGTGTATATGAATTACATGTTAAAAAAATAAGGCTAATCTAATTGCCCTGAATATTGATTGATTTGAGATGAAATACTGAGATTTTTCTTTCCCCTTGTGACAGCCAACAGGAATGAATAACTGCTTGTGGTGTAGATGTGTCTCAGATTGGGTCCTCTTGGACCTACTTGCTTTTGTTGATGTTATTGCAAACTTATCACATAAAGGTGTGAAATGCTGCCTGTTTGACTCAATATCTAAATTGTTACAATAAGAGTTAGAGTTTTTCAGTGATTTTAATATGAATATCTCTTATATGGTCAAGTCTACTTTATTATATAACTTTGCTTTATTCTTCTGGAGAGTTTTTTATTCAGAACATTAAAACTGATTTGGTTTACTCTCTTACAGATTTCCAGCACAAAATAACAGTGCAGGCATCCCCCAATCTGGATAAGAGGAGGAGTTTCAACAGTAACAGCTCTAGTCCATCAAGTAGCCCCACAATAATTCCTCGTCTTCGAGCTATACAATGTAAGTCTCCACTCATTTGATCTAATAGAGAATGTTCCATATACTTACTGAAATGCTGGTAGTAGTATCAGATTCCAGGCAGATTTCTGTCTGATNTTCCACATCCCTTAATTTGTTCTAAGAATTGTAACTTCTTTGAAAGGAAGGATGATCTTGTTAAAATGCTAAATAATTTTCGGTAATTCTAAATGATTGTGAATGCTTCAAATCATATCTTAATTACTTCAGGAACTAATTTGTAAACTACTGGGATAAAACAATGACATAAATTTATGACAAAAGGCAAAGCATCATATTTAGAACCCAGGTAAAATGGGAAAGAAGTTTTTTATTAGGTATTGGAGTCGATAAAGGAAAAGAAAGGTTCAGAGAGTAAAGGAATAACCTAACTTTATGTCGAAAGAGAAGCAAGCTTTAAGCAGGTACAAAAACAGAAGAAATCTTGCTTTAGGTTTTTTGAAAACAAAAATAAAATTGTGGGTATATTTGTAGGTCTCCATTATTATGTATACTGTTGACAGAAGGGAAGGTATGTTCATGCTCATGTACCACGAATATGGAAGAAAACTGATAATATTGTTATAGTGAAGCGTGTATATATATTTGGGAATGACAGAGGTAGAGACAGAAAACAGTTCCTATGGGATTCACTGCTTGCATTTGTGCTGTCTGATCTCTTGTGCAAAGTAGATTGTCTAATTATCTGTATTCAGCAAGGAATGCCTTGAGCTTCCCTGTCTTTATGAAATCAGTGGAACCCGTTCCAGCTGATTGCTTGTGGATGGTGGCCCTCTTCTCTTGCAGATGTAGTCACCTGTGAGGGAAATTACTTCAGAATCTGGCTTTGTCAAATGTAAATAAGGAGAAGGGAAAATCAGAATGCATGAGGATTTTTTTTCTACATACTGTTCTGTAACTACTTTAAAGATTGATTGATTGATTGATTGATTTTTAAACCGGCCTGAAACTGTTTAAAGTTTGGATAGAAATCAGATCTGTCATCTCCTATGAAACACCTCTGCCTTATGAAATCCTTTTGGTTATTAATGTCTAAAGGGGAGAAGTGATATCTGGCAGTAACTTCCTTATTTGTTTGAACTATAACAGATACAGTTCATTGGGCTTAGACCATTAATACCCATATGTTGTGGATGAGGGAGAGAGGTGGACAAACCCTGTCTTGCTTTTCTTAATGAAAATTTGAGATGGAAGGCAAATTAAGTAAAGTCTTTTTCAGAAGTTAGCTGACACGGTATCTGTGTTGTCAATGGTTTCATGGCCTCAAACAGTGTAATGGATTTTTCTGGTTGCTTGTTTATTTATTACAGAAAGATAAGAAAGGCTTTTGTTAGTAAAATGTCATAATTATGTATAAACTAGACTGTCTCATTTTATCTTTGATTCTTCTTGCTCTGCAAGGAAATGCTTGGAAATGAAGAAAGTGTCAGGTATTGGCATGATTCTTGAGTTTTCTTTGGTGTTTTTTTTCTTTGGTTTTTGGTTTTGGTTTTTTTGTTGTTTTTTTTTTAATGCATAGCCTTGTGTAAGCTATAGCAATGCCACTACTTGCATGTGTGCTAAGTGTCACTGGGGATTTTTTTTTTTATTTGAGCAGGCATTTGTATTTATAGGACTTGAATATACTGGACAACATAAAGGCTCTCCTTTAACAGAAGCTCATGTCTGCTTCTGAGTTTGGATCCCTAGGTTTTTCCTGAAAGCTTATCAGATCTCTCAGGAGTATCTAGCTGAAACAATTTAGCTTCCACACCCATTTGCACCTGTGCAAAATAAATTCTCTTTCCCACAATAATGTTTTATCTTGATTTAACTTCAAAGTGTCTTTGTTTCAAGATGGCTTGTTCAAATACAGGTGATTTGAACAGGCATATATAACAACTTTGTTACTTGACTGCTTCACTTTGTCATGAGTTAGCTTTCAAATCAAGAAGTTCTTTAAGTTAAAAAACAAATCTAGTTAATTTGTTATTAAAACAAGTTCTGCTGATTTGGAAAGGAGTTTTGAAGAGAGGAGGAAAACCACTAACATATATATTTCATAGGTCCTGGAATGTGGTTGAAAATGGGAGTGTAAAGAAGGCAAGTGTAGTGCTGTGCTACAGTAGGGTAAGCTGTGCTAGTGAGAAGTGTACAGTGAGGAAGAAAGAGAATGCTGTGCAGTGAAGGAGTGGCAGAACCATGGACATGTGACTGCCATCTCATTTATCATGCTATTTTAACTGGCTACATTCTTTTTGTCTTAGGTCTCTCCATCAGGGCTGTAAGCACACCGGGTTGATAGCAAGCTACTGCTTCAGTTAGTCAGTCCTATGTGAAAATCTACTTTCCCAGGTCTGGTCCTAGGAAGAGAATCCTTTAAACCCTACAGTAAAACCCCACCATCAGAAGAATGCTTAATGCCTTTATAGATCCAGGCTTTACGACCCAAAGATAAAAATATGAGGGAAACAGTTCCGTTTCTGAAATCAACTTGACTAAGATCTCTACTAAGTTCTCTTAATTTTTCCTCAGTGATTCCCAAAACAGATACAAACACAGCTAATGGCCGAAGAAACAGTGTATATGTGTACCAGCAAGATGTAGATATCACAAGTGAATATGAACTTCCCAGTGGGGTTGTGAAAAAAGGCAAGATTTCATTATGTTTTAAAGGTGCTGGTTCTGTTTAATTTATCAGTTGAGACAGTGACAGACTAAGCATTTAATGGAGGTTAGACATTTTAAAAGTATAATTTGTTTTGGTGTAGTGAGAAATAAAATGTTAATCATGGTCAGAATTGGAATATTCCGTATCACTCGATACCAGTTGTTCCACAGTATACGTTTTCTTCGTTGTAATTTAAGTGCTCAGTCTAACTCACTCGTCTGAATTATCTAAATATAAGGTTCTCAGTTAAAGGAAGCATGGAAAATATGATTGCTTTGCTGCTTTATCTTTAATCTGGGTCTCTTGTCAGCTCATAAATTACTTTTCTTGCTTGCTCATCTTTTTGGATCAGTGCAGTTTGTGTGGTGGTTTTTGTATAAGAAGAAAATCCCTTTTTTTTTTTTTCTACTCCTTTGTCTGTTACTGTGCCAAAATGGTTTTGCAGTGGAGAAAATATTCAGTTCTGTCACAATATTTTGATTTTAGAAATATTATTTATGTGTGTGGGCTTTGTTTGTGTTTTTAAATCCAATCTCTAGTAACTTCAGATGAAAGCAACAGAACTTGGGGAAGGAGCACAACTTATCACCAAGAAGAGTTTGAAGATGTGAAGAGAAGTTTTAAAAAGAAAGGTTGTACATGGGGACCAAGTTCAGTTCAAACAAAGGATCGTGCAGATTGTAAGGACAAGTATGTCTACTACATTTTGTTTGTTTGATCATACTGAAACATTCTTGGTAACTGAATCACTGGCATAGGTAGTGAGTGTGAAAAGTTCTGCATTCTCTGGTTACAGCAAAAACTCTTACCTATTAATTTAGAAACGACATTAATAATGAGGAGCTCCCCCACTTAGACTTGAAGATAAAATGCCTACTTATCTTAAAATTTTAGTGACTCTTATCTATTACCCTTTGTCTCTGTGTTTTGAGACTTGGAAGATTCTGAGATGCTGGGCTACTAATGCATACCTGACATTCATGGCCTGTCTCTCTCCCTTCCTCACATTAACTTGAGGAACTGCAAGCATGGCCCCCAGTGGGCCCTTTCAATATGATTAAATATGACTGACTGACTTGGCATATGTAAGGGACAATTCACACAGGCAGCATCATTTATGCTGACAAAAAGAGGGTGAAAGGGCTCTGAAAATCAGTTGAACACCTTTACTCTCAGATTATTTTTTCCAATGGCTCAAAACTACAGATGAGCAGCTTTCCTGAAGTAAGAAATCCTTTTCCTTATTTCTTCTAGTATATACAATTATAAATAATGCCTTTTTTTTTTCTTGGCAAGGACATCCACTCATTTACTTGTGTCAGGAGTTGGTTCCAGACCATCTATTGAAACTGGCTTTATAATATTTTTGTTTGCTTTAAAGTCACTATGTTTAATAAACTTCCAATATTCACATCATTTCTTTGACACAATGAAACTCTTGTCCAGGTTTTCTCCAACTTGCATTGTTCAATAGGTAGTCAAGGCCCAGTTTTCATTGCCTTTCTTTTTAGGCATGCAATTTTCATCATGTAAGGAATATCTCACATAAAGCATGTATGCATTTATAATCATATGAATCTATGCTACTACATACTTCCTTTTTATCTCTGGAAAGCTTTACTGTTTTCAAGTGAGGTCCTACATGTTTATAGTTTGAAAAGAAAGAGTAATTCTCTCACGAAGTATATGTAAGCATGGTATCTTCTCTAATGTCAAAATAACTATTGTTATTGCAGAGTAAGACCCCTTTCAGATGGCAGCAATCCTTGGTCAACCATTTTAATGAAAAATCAGAAGGGTGTTCCCTTAGCTTCACTCTTTGTGGACCAAGGTAAGACCTATCTTTGAAAAAGTTAAAGTTGCTATATAATGGCATAAACTTTACCTCTAGTTTTATAAACTGTATTGCTTGAACTCCTCAAGGATTATGGAGATTATTAGAAGAGTAGATCTATAAAAATTGCAAGTGTTAGCATCTTTATATTTCCATCATTGATAGCTAAGAAAATACATTGTCTGTGAGCAGTACCACATAGAGATTTTTTTCCACGTTTTTGAGTTGCAGGCTGATCTGTATTATGAGGTCTGCAGTCATCACTTCCTCATTTCTTTTTAAAAGAATCTAAATCAGTAATTGTCTTGAAATTTAAATGATCAATAATGATATTCTTAGTGGGCTCTGCATAGTAGTTGAAAAAATGCGTAGTTCTTTAAAAACCTGTTAGCTGTGATGTATTCCGTGATATTAGTTCCCTCTTTTTTTGAATGAGACCTGTTCTCTACATTTTCAAGAAAGAATCTATAGATTTCAAATCCTAAAGTTGTTTAGGCAACATTTGGCTATTTACAGGTAAAATCAGAAGGAAAAACATACTTAAGCTTCTTAGTATCAGGAACATAATAGCTGCATGTTGCTTTTTATGTCCATTGCTATAATGTGCTGTGGCTATACAATATTCATAATAATTTTCAAATTTACACGTACTTCCTATGCTACAGATTCTCTTATCTGAGAAAATTAAGTTACCAGTGTCAGGGGAAAAACCTGTGATATAACTTGGTGTCCATACCAGCAGCTGGATTTATGCCAGGAAGAGAAAATGGTAAGCTGCTTGGACACCACTGGAAAAACACATTTTCATCTTCCTGTATACTGGTAGAGGAGTATAAATTAAGCCTTCACAAATAGTAATTTTATAGATTTATTAGCTTACTACTAAACTCCCTCATACAAAGTTTATATATTTGAATTTCAAATATTTTGGTATACATTTTACTCTGGACCACAAGACCTAATGAATTAATTGGAAAAATTTCTAGTAACACACTGGGTTTTGGAATGCAGCTTAATTGAAAGTGCTGTAAAGAATGTATTCTAGATCTTACCTGGCAGTTCATGTATAGTAAAATAATTCTCTGTAATCCATACGCAGAAATATTTTCTGTGTTACTGGAAAAACACTACCAAAGCGTTGCAAACACGAAGTAGTTTAGGCATAGGATGTATTTCTGAATCTCACAATGTGAGTCTGAGCTGTACAGTATCCCTCAAGATTAATACTTGTGCAACTTAAAGGCAATAATGATGCACATATGCAAACGTGCAATACTAAAAGAGGTGAATTGCAATCTTAAAGGTTACTGTGATGTTTTACAGGTGTCTGTACTGATAAGAAACTTATCCCTGAAGTTTTGGACAGTAAAAGACCAAAGCCAATTAAGTTGCCCAATCAGGCCTACATTAATCTACCTCTTTGGAAAGACGATCAGGGAGAGAATACAGTAGAACATGAGAGCTTTGAAGAAGGAACCTCTGCTAGTTCTACAAATAGTACTCCTCAAATGACACCTACAAACAGTCTGAGCAGGACACTGCACAAAAAGAAGACTGATTCAGTGCTGTATGGGTGTGCTGTCCTCCTTGCATCTGTTGCCCTGGGCTTAGATATCAGAGAGCTGAACAAATCGCAGGGTCCAGATGAACTCTTGCCTAAAGATGAGAAGAAGAAGCGTGATGGAATATTTCAGCGTGCTTCAAAATTTCGCAGGAGTGCCAGCCCTACACGACTGCAGTCCAAGAAAGAGGAAACAAGTATTCCATCTCTAAATTCAACTGCAAATACTGTGAATCTTCTCTCTATGCCCTCCATTTCCACAAAATGCCTACTTCAGTCTGACAGTGAAGATGCTTTTGTAAGTACTGTGCTTGGTGATTGTGGTCGATGTAGTTCCACTGATGTCTTTTCATCTCAAACTTCTGAAAGTAAGAGAGAACAGAGGATACAGCTGGCTCCCAACACAGTTTCTACACAACTGAAAAATCAGCCTTTTAATCTTGGTCTAAAACAAGAATCTCAAAACGTGCCAAAAGATTCCTCCACAAAGTTAAGTGTGTTGGGTCACAGACGAACCTTATCAGATGGGAACCGTTTTCAGACCACAGGTGCGTAATTAAGAACTTCCATGAATCCTTAAGTCAAGCTGTTGATAAAAATTTAAGCCCAAAATAAAGTCTTTAAATCTGACTAAGTTCATGATCAATGAGTTTTTGAAAAGAAGTTCTAAATTTCCATACTGGTGTTCTGTGATGGCTTAAATGTAACATCCTTTATGGTACTCTCTGTACGTGTAATTCCTCATAATAACTGGCTGAATTCATGGGGCTTTATTCCAGTATTAATGTCCAGCCAGTGGCTGAGTAGCTAATGCTTTCTCTGTACGTCTCTTTTGTAGCAATAAAAAAAAAATTGTGATGACCAGTAGCAGAGAGCATAGATGCAAACATGTTACTTGAGCGCTGCTGGTCTTGTCCTAGGAGATTTCCCAAAAATGTACAAGCATCTTAACTTTTCTGTTGGGGAGAAAAAAGCTACTAGTGTTTATGACAACCCAGTTTTACAAATGGCAAAGAATCCGAGTAGTCACATAGTTTAAATTGGCATTTTTATTTTTATACTTTCTTTCCCCTAGCTAATGGAGTTGCTTCAACCAATGATGTCTCCAGACTACCAGTTCTGTCAGGTACTGGAGCTCTACACTCTCCGTCTCTGCAACAAAGAAACAATCACAGTGGTGTTCCAACTGAAAAGCAAAGTGTTGTCAATATTGTATCAAGGCCTCGACCTTCTTCTCTAAGAAGTAAAATCGATCCCTGGCAGATTATTCCACGTATTATTAAACCAAACTCTAAAGACTCTGAATGTTTAGAGGGCAATGTAGATCCAGATGTTAACTTCTTGCCAGATACGGAGGAAAGAACTAACTGTCACATGCCCTCATTACTTGATATTGATGTGGAAGGTCAAAACAGAGACTGTACTGTGCCTTTATGTAGAATGAAGAGCAAAACTTGTCGGCCATCTATATATGAACTGGAGAGAGAGTTTCTGTCATGAGTGCCTTTCATTTTAAAAATGTTTGCTTCTTAAAGGGGAACAAATATGAAATTCCTGTCTGTGTAACGCTTTGTGCTGCTGTTTTCTGATGTACTGTGACAAATAGTACCAAAATTATTAAAAGGGGCATCTAATTAAGTAAGTGTAGTAGGTGCCTTTTTCAAATGTTCCTTGGAATCCCACCTAGTTACTCTAAAAGCACAGTGCTGCGAAAGGAGTGTTCTAGGTGAACTTCATAAGTCTATTTTGAGTAACTAAAATAACATGCCCACCTCCCTCTGCAGTGTGACAGAAGTTTTCTTTAGGTTTGAGAAGTTTTGCTAGAATTTTAAGTCTTGCACATGGAAAAAACAAATGACATAAAGCCAACTCTTCTGTGAAGAAGAGTTTCACCTAAGAAGTGGTTGTCTGCAGCTTGCCTCTGTGGCCTGTAGATTTAGGGAGGGGTACAGCGGATTTAAGGTGCTGGTACAGGAGGCTCTGTTCACTGCGCATTAGGGAGGTGGTTTCATGTTGGTATTTGATACTGAAATTGGTTGAGGACCAGCAGCTGAATTTGCAGTCTTTGCCCTTGGTTTTTGGGAAAACTTTCAACTATGTTCATTAGTTTCTCCAGAAAGTTACACTGCTTATATAAACATTTCGGTTTCAGCCGTCATATCGATTTGAGAGAGTAAACTTTAGTATTGTGATTGGAGTAAAGGTATTTGACATACTTTGTAATGTGAAACAACATTCCTTGTAGGTAAGGATACACTGGAACGTAAATATTTGTACTCTTAACCTTTTGAAGACTACAGTGTTTGCACTGAAAGCAATATTCTTGGGTTTGAATTTTTTGTTTGTGGTGGAGGGGTTTTCCCACCTTCTTGTTTTTTAGACTCTGCTGCACCTTGTATTAAAGAAAGATGGTGGGTTTTAAGAATAATTGGTTTTAAGTGAGCCAATGGTGCATTTTATTGCACTTAATTTTAAAACTGCTATAATTTATTATGAAATCTTTCAGTATAATCTCTGTAGCTTTTCTTCCTAAGGTACTACTGAGTGCCTGCTTACTCATTTAGGAATCAAAGGACAAAAACAGATGTGCTTGACTGGTTTTCAGTGATAGAAAGGTTCCAGAGAATTCCAAGTAGTTAATTGTGGGGGGAGGAACTTTTAGCCTTGATAACACTGGTAGTTTAATTTTTTATAGTATCACTAAGTGAATGATTAAATAAAACCAAATGTATAGTATCCTTTCCCTGATGAAAGCATTTTTAGAACTGAAGGAACAGTCCCTCATTTTCCAGTATGTGAAGTTTTAATTTTGCAGATCATTTGACATTTAAATAGTTTTCATAAATAAAATTAGATAATGTTCAATTAAAACACTATGTTCTCATCAGAATACTGTTTTGTTAAGACCTTTGTTTGAAATGTTTTCTTCTCCTTTGCTCTGCAGTATGGGAGCTTAGTTGTTAAATAGAATACACAATTGCTTAAAGCTTCAAAACCAAGAGATTAAAAAAGAAATTTTGTGTTCTAAGACTAGTATGCAGTATTGTGTCTGCCTTGAGGATGACACACAGTTATACAAACAAAATCATGAAGGCTTTATCACACAGAGCAGAATGCAGAAAATGCAACTTTCCGGCTCTGAAACTGAAAATAGAAAAGGATTTCTTTAAGTATTAGTTTACCTAAAGTAAAGACAAAACCACTAGTTGTCTCTAAATCTAAATGCTTGCATGACAGATTATTAAGTTACTACATTTTGTTCAAACCTGTTTCTGTTTCAGTATTCTTAGTTTTTCGTTAACATGATTCAAGTCACATACTGTTCTTGTCTTTCCTTTAAACTTAAATTTCGCCAGAACACTTTCATAGATTGTCTATTCCAGTTTTAATACAAAATATTTTTCTAAAATAAAATTGTGAATCAGATTTTAAAAGTATAGCTTGATAGCAGATATACTGTCAAGGCTTAATTAGAAATTTGGAACATTATGTATATTTCAACTCTTGCTTGATCAATTATTCCTGTGTAATACTGAGAGAAAATGAGCTGATTGTATTACATGTTTCTGAAGAAAGTATCTTTGTTTGGCTTTCTACAGGAAAATCTCAGGTGCTGAAGTATTTTGACTTGTAAACTTCTGTTAAGTTCTGTTCTGTATTTTTAAGGTTTGTATAATTTTAAGTGTTGAATTTTGCACCCCATGTTTTGTAATCAATAGCATCAGCATAAAAACCCCTTTGAGTTATATCGTTTTCACTTATTAGTGGCTTATCTGTCTTGCAATTAAACGATGATTTCTATTCCTGTTCAGTGGATAATTTCCCATAAGATTGGGAAGATTGGGACATGTGATATGGCCAGCCCAGTGCGTTCTAAGTAAAGTTTTTAAAAGTTTGTATTCCACCTGTTGTTCTGAGACAGTTTAGGTAAGCCATCTCAAATATTTCTCTGATGTGATGCAATTCTTTTAAGCTATAGTCTGTAGTGCTTTATAATTGCTTTTTATAGTTTAAAATTATAGGCCAGTCTTCACTGTAATTAAAAAGACAAAAAGAAAAAAATTATTTCAATCATGGTAGCACAGTCTGTATTTCACTTGTCACCAGAGAAACTTTCTGTAAAGTTATCGGAATCTGGTATGCATTAAGTGAACTGTCTTGGTTAAAAGGATATTTATTTCGACGTAGGTTAATAGCCTGACCAAATAATAATTTATGTTGATTGTTTTAGCATAAAACTCAAGGTGCTTACACTACAAAGATTAAGATAAACACTTGATATTCTGTTTTACAAAACCTGATGATTTAAATGTTTTTATTTAAAAAATAAATGTTTTGTAGCTACTGTATTGCAAAGTGACCTGAGTTTTCTTGAAAAATATATTTTAATGCTTTCTTAACACATACAAAGGAGTTCTCTGGTGAATAACCAGGAGCTATAAACTCTGGCCAGCCTGTTCTTGGAACATTATAATGTAATTGTTACTCTAAGATTAATTATCCATTACAGTAACATGAACATTCCCGTAATTTCTTGCACTTGATGTGAGCTGAAGCATATGGCATAAACTTGTTTTTTCTTTCATGTGACCATAGTATGTCTTTTGATGCCTTTTACAATGTTGGCTGGGTGTCTTAGAGGAGATAGAGCAGTGAATATAAATAAACTCGGCATCTGATTTAACATCAGGAATACAGGTAAGACATAACATCCTTCTGTTGTGGGGTTTTTGTTGGGAGGGTCTGTTGGTTGTTTGGGGGATTTCGTACTTTGGGGGTTTTTTTTAGTTATTTTGGGTTTGTTGGGGTTTTTTTAGGCAAATGAAGGCAGTATATTCCTTATAATATTTTCTGACACCTTCCTTTGTGAGTTTCCCTCTTCCCGCATCATGGCATGAGTGAATTAGCCCATCTTTCATTTTGGAAGAGGAAGTATCCATTTGCCCAGCAGCAACAGGCAAGATACAGCCAAGCCTCTAGCAGTGCAGTGAAATTCAAATGAAATTATATTGAATGATATATTGAATTTATAAGGTTGCAAGCCCGGTCTTATAAAGACATGCCTATGCAGAACTTTCAGTGAGGCTGGGTACATAACAACTATTTAGATGGCCTGTGAGTGTCAGTATTGAGCACAGATTATAAGACAAACTGCAGAGGCAGTTTATTTTTATACACAGAGTTGTAATGGTAATATTACGATCTGCATACAAGTGTGGAGTAATGGAAAAGATCCCATTCTCACTAATCATCTTCCTTTTTAATGTAACGAGTCAAATCACTATGGCGTATGCATTATGAGAAGCTAATGAGACTGTTATCTAATACATTTTTGATGTAGTACTTAAGCTTGCAGTATTGGGTATTATAATTAAGGCCAGAGTCCTTGCAATGTGTAGTGGATTTCTTCCTGAACATAAATGAACATGAACAAACCAAATATGGGTCAGTTACCTCAATGCTGTTAGAAATCCAGTTATACTTGGTATAGCTAGTTTGATAAAATAGTTTCTTTAACCAGATGTGCCTTTTGATCTAACAAGCTGGAGAATACAATACAGATCTATGCAATAGGATGGTTTTACTTTTCTATTTCATAGAATCACAGGATCACTTAGGTTGGAAGAGGCCTTTGGAGATGAAACAGTCCAAACTCCCCTGATGGAGCAGGTTGCTCAAGACCATGTCCATTGAAGTTCTGTGTATCTCCACAAGTGGAGACTCCACAGCCTCTCTGGGCAATCTGTTGCCATGTTGGACCACCCCCACAGTAAAAATATTTTCTCGTGTTCATGCTGAATTTCCTGTTGGTTTTGGGTTTGGGTTTTTCTGTTTTGTTTTTATTTTTGTTTTGTTTTGTGTTTTAGTTGGTTTCATTTTGGGGGGGGGTGTTCATTTGTCGGATTTCATTTGTTTTGGGTTTTTTTGTTTGTGCCCATTGCCTCTTCTCCTGTCACTGGACACTGCTGAGAAAAGCCTGCCTCTTTCTTCACCCCCCCTTATCAAATATTTGTAAACAATGATAATAAGATCCTCCTGGAGCCTTCTCTTCTCCAGTCCCAGCTCTCTCAGCCTTTCCACATATGCAAGTCCTTTACTAGTCCTTTGTGACCCTGCACTGGATTTGTTCCTACTGAGTCTATATCTTTCTTGTACTGGGGGACCCAGAACTGGACTGAGCATTCCAGGTGGGGCCTCACTAGTGCAGAGTAGCAGGGGATAACCTCCGTCAATCTGCTGGCACCATTCAGGGCACTACTGGCTGTCTTTGCTGTAAGGTTCAGTTTGTCCCCCAGGATTCTCAGGTCTTTTTCTGCAAAGCTGCTTCCCAGGTGGTTGGTCCCCAGTGTGTAGTGGTGCCTGGGCTTGTTCCTCCCTAAATGCATTTCTACTTCACAAGATTCCTCTAAGCCAAATTTTCCAGCCTATCCAGGTCTCTGTGAATGGCAGCACAACTATCTGGTGCATCAGCCACTCCTGCTATTATAGATTATCTGCAAAACTGCTGAGAATATGCCCTGTCCCAGCATCCAGGTTTTTAATGGAGGTGTTAAACAGTATCAGCCCTTGTATCAACCCCTAGGGTACTCCACTGGTGACTTGGTGACATTTAAGCAAGTTGTAGTTAATACCATCTCATATTTTATTCATGCAATGCAAAATATTTTTTCTAGGTGATTTTGGTAATTGCAATTCTTCAATTACTTTCAAAGGCATTTTTCCCATTTCAAAAATAAAGGCATAATGACCATTCTCACATCTAGGCCTTAGTGAATTGCTTCCATAGTTGAGATCTGGCATCAGGATGGTCGGAGTTCAGCACTGCTTTATGTAACAGCTTGTATTCGTTCACAATATTTACAGTGTGCTTTAAAAGCAAAGTCATCAATTCACCCTGGGTGACCAAACTAGTCAGACTTCAGTCAGATGTCAAATTTGGTGTTACTTCTTTGAGTGATTATTAATATGGAGTCTCATGCTCTACAACACTGCTAAATAGACTTTTAAAAACATTTGTGTTATATCTGAGAACATCAGTCTTCCCTCCTACCACACAAATTTTGCAGTTACAAGGTCTGACATGAGTCTCATGGCTGCTGAAGACGATGAATACTCTGATCTCCAAAGGGGAGGTGGAGAGGGCACAACCTGTGAACTCCTCAGCAGAACTCTGTTAGCGCTTCTCCAAAGAAAGGTGCCCAGCACAGCTGTTCTTTCCGTGCCAGCGAACTTGCACATGTGCTACTGTCTCCCTGCTGAGTTCAAACATACCTAGCTAAGGTCTTTGATGTAGCAGTAGTCACTATGAATAGTCTAGTCATTTGAGGGCTTACCAGTCATTATGAAAGCAGGTGAAAGTCTGCGTATTTGGGGCCCAGGACATTCCCCTCACTGTTTTGCAAATCACTTGAATTATTCAAAAGTTTCTAAACTCCCTTTTATGGCAGATGGGATTAAGCAATAATATTTTACAAAGACTTTTTATTCTGCTGCCTTCCTCTGCTACCTTCCAGACCAAAAGTGATGTTTGTTCCTTGTGTTAGACGCCACTTATTCTGCCTGATAAATGTTATCAGTGGTCAGAGGGATGCACAATTTTATTTCCAAGCCTGATGGAGAGACGTAGTTGTGCTAAGAAAAGCAGGTGGATCAAACGCAGGGTGTATTTGCTGGTAGTCTAGATAAGTCAAAGATATATACTAGACATATATTGCCCAGTCACTTCAGATATATTGAGTACATCGTTCCTGAGAGAGCAGGATACTCTCTTACAGGCTATTTCCAGGGGTAGGGTATTCCCCCAAAGGGAATCCACCTTCTGTTCCAGAAGCAGCCTGCAAGTGATCATACACTTTCTTGACCCTGTCATTAGGGAAATGAGTGTGCATCTCCTTCAATGCCCATGCCACCTGAAATGTTTAAGGCAGAAGTAACGGCGATGCTATCAGTCACTGTAATTCTCATCAAAATACTTATTTTTCTCACTGTAGAACCCCTGAAGTTATTCACATTGGTGATTCCACTTTTGATAGTGGAAATTTTCATCACCAAGGCCCTGATTCATTCTTATTTGTGATGCAGCTACTTGATGGTTGACTTTGGGGCTAAGATACAAACACCTGACTTTATCCACAAGAAATACTTGTTGGACAGATACTTGTGAGCAAGGGAATAGCCCTGTCTAATTTTTTTTTATCATACCTTAGCTGAATTTGACCCACCAAAAGCATTATCTTTTAGATGCTTTTTCAGGTTTGGCTTGTTTTTACTGTGGTGGTTCTTCTCTCGTTAAGCAAATTTTATTAGTTTATAGAACCCAGCTATTAAGAAGAAAATCTGTACTGTCATTATCTATTGCTAGAAGATGCAAAGAACAGATACTATCTAAGGCATATTAAGAGTGTCGTAGGATGGAGTCATCTTACTTAGCAAGTGTGGGAAACTCAACAGAATGAATATGTTCTTTCAGGCCTGCAGAGCTACCATGGGGTGCCGTTTTCACAGCTGTATAGTATATTTAGAAGCAAAGTGTGCCTGTGACTATGTTTTTTTTTTAAACAGGTTTCTGAATTCCTTCCAGAAAGTCAGGGTCACTCACTGTGTTTGCATATTATGTGCTTGTCGATACTAAAAGCAGAGATACTCTTGTAGCTGTAAATATGCTCCTAGAACAGTTTTCCCCCTTTATAATAAAACCTTTTAACACTTTCAGGATTTGCAAGGAAGAGGAATGGGCAGTGCTCCTGCTTTCTAGCTGTATGCCAGACAAGTAGAGGGGTCTGGCTTTTATGAGCCCCAACAGATATTGCTGAAGGTAATTTTGTGATAAAAAGCACTGTGTAAATGTCTATATAGTATGAATATATATATAGTAAAGTTTTTCAAAAAGAGAAAATCACCTCATCTTTTGTGTGCAATGATTATAGTGCTTGTTTTGAAAATAATTTTTTTTTGTGATACCCAATGAATTTTTCTGAATACTGGTAGAAGTCAGAATAGAATGAGGCTGTGTTACAGTTGAAAAGAAGCCTAAGTAGGAAAGTTTTGTCTTTACTTCCTCCTTTTCTATGTAGTCCCACTTATCTTGCTGATAGCAGTGAAAAATCCGGGTGGTCCTGCAGTCCACAAAAGTCATCCTTGTAAAATCAAGTACACTAAAAATAGCAGTTCAGGACTGACCATGTGAAGCAGTGAGATACAAGTACTTTTAATATCTGATTCTTGTAATGCAAGCCAGTTAGCTTTTTCTCCTTGGAAAGAAAGTCAAAGGATCAAAACTGAAGAGTATTGGTTCACCGTGGTGTAACAGGTTGGGTGACACTAAGTTGGGTGGGAGTGTTGGTCTGCGGGAGGGTAGAATCATAGAATATGCTGAGTTGGAAGGGCGTCATCAGAATCACCAAGTACAACTCCTGGCCCTGCGCAGGACACCCCAAGAATCATATCCTGTGCCTGAGAAGTTCAACACTTCTTGAACAGTCAGGCTCGGTGCTGTGACCACTTCCCTCAGAAGCCTGTTCCAGTGCTCAACCACTCTCTGGGTGAAAAACCTTTTCCTAAACCTCCCCTGACAGAGCTTCATGCT